TTATTATTTCTTAAGTCAAACTTTAAGAAAAGTATCTATTTCATCTAAGTTTCAAATTTTGTTGTCATAAAATTATTCATGGTATTTTATTATGATTGAAACTGTATAGTATTTTTAGATTCCTTTGTTTGATTCCAGGTATTATTTATTCTAGGTTTTGAAAATATTACTCTTTTAGAAATTTATCTTTTATTATAGAACCAGCTTTGATATGCTTAAAAAAGAATTAGGGTTTATTTTGTTATTTTTTTCAATGTGTTATTATATACGGTATATTTATAGTATATAAATAAATCTACAAAAAATTCCTATGAATCTTTTAAATAGACACAGATTTTAGTATTTTTTTTTGTTAATCCTCAGGAGAGGATATTTTTTCCATAGATTTTTAAAGAGAGTGGAAGGGAGGGAGGGAGTGGAAGAGAGAGAAACATGTATGTGAGAGAGACAAATCGATTGGTTGCCTCCTGCATACACATTTACTGGGGCAAGGGATAGAACCTGCAACCCAGGCATGAGCCCTTGACCAGGAATCAAATTTGTGACCCTTCAGTGCACTAGTTGACACTCTAACCACTGAGGACACCATCCAGGGAATGTATTTTCTAGTGTTATTATTATAAAATACACATATATAACTTAAGGGTATCCTTTATCTTAGTGTAAAGCTGTATATTTACAGGGCTTTTCTTCTCTAATTTTACATGGAAAAATAGAGGGTTTTATTTACCTAACTTTTCAATAATCCAATATCTGGTAGGAAACATCACTTTCATCCAGGGCAGAGTTAGTGAAATTAAAAAGCACTAATTTTCCAAGTTCTTTATTAATAATTCTAAAGCACTGTTAGGATTATAGAATTTTATTGTCAGAGAATAAATATCCAGAAACATGAAATAGCTTTTAAATTCTACTTTTAATCTATTTTATTTATTAAATAAGAATGTATGGAGAACACTTATAATAGTGCCTGCCATTCAGGCATTGTTATTATCCTCATATTTTCTCTTTTGTATGGGGATTTTCATCATTCTTGCATATCTGAAAAAGTCATATGCTCTTAAATCTGTATTTGGCTAAAGTAAACATGATTAAAACTTTTCATCTTTAGTAAAAGGAAAAAAAGCATCAGCTTTTCCTTTCTGTTAAACCATCTGTGACTTAAAAGCTCAGTGAGAGCTAATTTTAAGTTGGAAGCAATTTAAACAACTTGTGTTAGTTTAAAAACAAATGTCTTCAATGTTTTATATTCAAGAATGGCAAAATTAAAAATACACATAACTTTCTATTTACACTATTTCTTCTTGAAATACTTGAATAAAGTAATCATTCCCTCCAGGAATTTGTATTAAATCATCCTTTCCACAATTAGTGTTTTAATATTAAGCAAGAAATTTAACAGCCAATGTAGCTTCAGTTCATCTGACAGGAAAATGTAGTTAGTCTGGAGTGTAACTGGACATGTTACTGTGTTCCAAGACCATTCATGCCACATAGGGCTTCCTTCCCAACCACTCACATATCTTCCCTCCTCAATTACTATGTCAATCCTCAAGTTTCTCCTGTCAATCATTAAATTGATAAGGTTTTAAAATGACTCCTCTGAAAGGCCTACAAACATCAATATAATTTTTCACTTATTCAAACATTTTACTTAGACATTTCAGTGATGTGTTCATTTTAACGCATTTCAACATTAGTCCTCAAAGTTTTAATAAGTGAATAATTTCAAAAAGTCACTACCCTTAAATTAAAAATGAACTTAGCAGTACATCACTTTCTGAAGGGTGGCTTGGGGCAAGGGTAAATTACAATAAAAAAAATTATAGGGGTGCTTCGGTGTACAACTTCTCTGAACAGGACCTTGTTATGTCAGTAACACAAGATAAGCTGGTCTGAAGAGTATGCTATGCACTGACTTTATAAACTCAGCATGGTTGGTTAAAAGTAATTTCTCTATATAAATTCAAATTACATCTTTCAAGAATCTTACTCATTATCCATGGAAGAAACATGGAATCATAGCAGTTTAGAGCTAGAAGAACCTCAGAAGTGGTCTAGTTTCTCCTCCTCATTTTACAGATTGAGAAATGGAGCCCAGAGAGGGTATGGTGATTTTCTAAGGTTACACAGCCTGCAGTTCTGAGGCTGGCCCACCCTACCTTCCCCTTCCATGTGACTGCATGGGATTACACAGGCTGACTGTTCAGATTACAGCAGTTACCTTTTGAGTTATATCTCTACCACACTTTAAAACATGTTTGGAAACACAAGTTAGAGTATATTTTAAGCTTTTGACGAGTGTTTAAAATTGTTAAATATGTTAATAACAGCCCAGTTACTTCATCATATAAATTGGAATTACTAGGTAAAAGCAAATCCAGATATTATTTTTACTCTTGCTTAGTGAACAAAACCCTATAGCCTTATAATTGTGGTATTTTATTACTCTCTTTATATTACTGACACAAATCACCACATCTGTCAAAATGTTTTTTATGTTTTCAGAAATAACAATTTCTATAGTATTAATATAATTTTACTTTTCTTGTTCAACTCTATTTCTATTAGTATATAACCAGAAATCTCTTCTATGTTCTAGGATAAAAGATTCATTTTAAAGCTAATGGAAAATGGAGTCTCATGAATAAATGAGCAATAATTCATGAAGATAATGAGTGAAAAACATTAAGTGATTTTTATATTTAGTATCATTAGTTTGTTAGCAGCAAATTTAAAGCCAACCACTAATTCTTCAAATTAAAGAAAATGTAAGAATGAAGAAATTGTTGACATCACCCATCACTAAGTCATACCTTTGAAGATACAAAGATTTTAAAAAGCAAGCAGTAGAGTACTAACCTAGAAACATGATGAATAATTTTTCACCACTGGAAGAATGAAAACTAAGATTATATTTTATTACAATTCTATTAAAATTGCAAAAACATACTGTTTTTTAGAAACACATATCTGCTGTGTACAGTCACATGTACTGGATATTTTTCCCTCTTCAATTAAGGAAACGTTAATCAAACACTTATATGTCTGTGGCACTGAGGATACCAAAATAATTAGGATATGGTTCTTACCCTCAGGATGTTCATTCACAATCTATGGGATAAGCAGATTTGTAAAAAACCAATCAAAATATATTATGAAAAGTGCTACACAGCGTTGGCAATGGCCATGATCCATTGGAGGGGAAGGAGGAGGAGACTGGACAGTAGTCAAGATGAACCCAGGGTTTCTGGACTGAGTCAAATGCTTCCTGAAGGCCTTTCCACTGTTCAGAATGTTCTGATAATATTTTAGTGCATTACACAAGCTATGTGTTTACTAATGTATTTACATGCAATACTGAAGTAAAATCCTTAAAAAAGTATATCCTTTTTAATCTGTTAGGTGCATTTCAAGTAATAGTAACATCTGAAGACTAATTACCAGTTAAATTCTCTACATGTATGAGGTTTTATCAACTGTCTGTGATAAGAACATAGAATTAATTCTAAGTTTCAAATGTATAGTGTACAAGTTAAGAAAATGAACACCAATATGGTAATAAGTATGTTTGATGTGAGGTGAGTAATTAGGTTTATTGCAGTGATCACTTCGTAAGTTATGTAAATTGCTAATCACTGGGTTGTACACCTGAAACTAATATAATATCGTACATCAACTGTAATTGAAAAACAAAAAAAATAGTAAAAAAGAAAATGAACACCCCTTAAAATGTAAGTATCATTCAAGGAAATAGGGTCAAAATTCTCTCTTATTGGTAAACCATGAGTTTTTGTTACATGCCCTTATTTTTAGACATCTTTGAGCCAGTTAACCTTTGCTGGTGACCCTCCACAGCACTGTCTAGTACTTATAGTAGTGAAGCTTCTGTGAATTGTTTCACAGGAAAACCTGTGTCCCCCTTTTCAGATGTTCATCTCAACGTGAACTAAACGGCTGCACCTGTGGAATATGGACCAAATTAGCTGATGTTTACTTTGAACACATTGACCTTTGGGACATGAATCCCCCTTTCCTCTCTCAACTTTTACTGTCTATCTTGCAATATTTCTCATAATACATGATGGGCTGCCAGTGAAGTGACACGCATACCGTAAGTCACCATCATTTTGAACTTTTGGGTCTGGGAGACCAATGCATAATGCACTTCTCAGATGTTTGTAGATAAGCATTTTTAAATGGCATATTTTGGCGATATCTTGAAAAAATAAAAACTACAAACTCCACTTGTCTCTAAAGCCCAGGTCACAAATATTCATGACTGGGAGCTCTGCATCCTAGGATGAATTCTGTCCACTACAGCGCAGCCAGTAAAGCAAGTGATGCACATCCCTGCACTTACTAGCACCTCAGTCCTTAAAAGAAAGGATCACTGTGGCCAGATAAGCATTTCCCACTCTTGTACTTGAACACACAGTAACCAGCATATAGATCAAGAATCAGGTCCTGGCACTTATCGCTAAAAGGTTTCTTTAAAACACACACACCACACCACATTAAAAAGGTTTCTTAAAGGGATGTAGAAGGCAACATCGTTCCTAACAAAATCAAGAAACTGTGCAGAGCCTGGCGCTACTGGACCAGCCTGGGGTGTCTCTTCCTCCTTCCCTGCAGCCCTGTGTCCCCTGAGCCTTCAGGGTTTAAATGTCCTTGGAGCCCTCAGACCTCAAGTTCTAGAGCCAGTCCTGCTCCCCCACCCTAGGGGAGACATCCACAGGAAAGCATCCCAGCCCCACCCCCTAGCCCCCAGCCTCGGGCCAGATCCTAGGAAATGTTTCCTCAGCCGAGAACCGGGCTCTGCACGAACCTCCAGCATCAAGGGAACCTCAGTTACCCCAAAAGGACCTCAGAGGTCCCGAACCTCGCTCTCCAGCTCTGCTGCTCCCACAACATCCCAAAGATTCCCAGCAGAATTCCCAGAGGCCGGTTCCAGGGCGCTATCAGGAGTCTCGGGGGCCGCCTGTGCCCCGAGCACTTACCCGCTGAGCTGGCCGGAGCCCCTCGGGACAGCTTTCGCGCTGCTCTGGACCAGAGCTTTACCCGGTTGCTGCGGCCGCAGGCTCGCGCGCGGCGCCGAGACCCGGCCTCCG